ACCAGCCGCATCAAGCATCGTGGTATTGTATGGTGCGTGCCCCTTTGTTTGTTTGTCTGTTTGCTAAGCTCGTACGCTCCGCAACCAACCATCGAACACTCACAGACACATTAATTTCGAATTAGTTTTGCATCATGTGGTCCATGAAGCAGAAAAATCATCATCATGTTTGAAACTACTAGAAATGTCAGGGCATGACGTTCTTAGAATTTTTACTGGGAATGCCAAGGGGAAGGGGGAAGAAAAATTAGGTATATTTAAATTTTTAGTTTAGACATTTTGAAAATATTTTTTATTCAAAAAAATAAAAGTTGGGTATAACATATTACGGTCCGACCCTTGTGATATATGCTTGCTATTAGCACTCCTAATTCGGAAATAAATGCCAAATTTCGATGAATCCGGACAAAAGAGGTCTCATTTAAAAATGTTTTTTCAGGCGTAGATTTTTTACAATATGTTTCAGGGGTCCTCAAGGTTTATTAAAAGGCATGGATTTTTTTAAGAATATTTTTTCAAGAGTCCTTAACAGACGTGGATTTTTAAAAATATGTTTTATGGTCCTTAACAGACGTAGATTTTTTAAAAATATTTTTTATGGTCCTTAACAGGCGTAGATTATTTTTAAAATATTTTATATGGTCTTTAACAATCCACGCCTTCTGGGGATACTTAAAAAAATATTTTTTATGGTCCTTAAAAATCCACGCCTTCAATCCTTCAAAGTTCGGACGGTGGGCAGACAGAGAGATCTTAAAAGGTCTTTAAAAGTGAATTTCAACATCTCTTGACCCTTTTCTAATTGTGAGTATACATCTTTGGGGTTTGTTCGGTTCATAGGCTCTCTTCATATTAGTTTCTATAAAAATCATTCTACATTTTCCCTATTAATTGCGTCCTTTGCTTGGTTTTCATTGTCATTCATCATCACCTGCTCAACTTTAAAACTCGACAGAAACTCTCATTCGAAAAAAATAGAAAACCAGACACCCACACACATTTACACATATTTTGACAATAAATCTCAAACAAATCTCAACCTAACCCTCCAGACATTTGAAAGCTGCACACACGCACAGATGAAAACTCTCCTGGGACTCTTGAGCTAGCTGCAGCATTTAACCTTCGACTGGGGAATTCTGTGGCCTTTGTTTGTAAACGGGGAAAGCTTTAATCGAAAACGGAATACTTATCTTTGTAACAAGGTTAAATTTCGTTTTCTTGTCGAATCACTTTTGTTTAGATCTGAACATTTGTTGAAATCACACTTTATTTACAATGTGCTTGACATACAAACAGACAGGGTCGCACATACCCACATGGGAGCGACAACGACGAATCCAATAATAAATTACACTTTATGATACCATAATCTAATCCACAACAGATGAGTCTCGAATGGCAAGTGTAAGAAACAGAATGGTATGGAATTTGAAAACCACCACCGAACATAACTCTAGCCCAATAAGGGACTCATCGCTGACACAGCATCCTCTGCAGTATATTTTGCACGTTAAGTTATCAATTATTTATGAGTGTTGATGTGTGTTGCCCCGACACTGGTGGCGGCATCACGGGGCCAATGAAATAAAATATTTTGTCATGAAAAATAGACCAAATCGACGACGACGATGACGAAGTTAGGAAAACGAACATATGAACCAAATTACCTGCAAGGTCAGATGATGGATGACAAAATGTTGTGGAGGGTTCGCAACAAAAACAAAAATAGTTTACCTTAAAAATATATAAGGAATGAGTAAGTTTTGGAAAGGTTTGAGGTGACATGTCACCTGTCAGGGAAATAAACACTACAAATAATCATTAAATGAAACTATTTTCAATCAATATTTCAAACATGTCATTTATGCTTTATAAATTAACAGAGTGGCGCCCAACGGCATTTAAAAAAAAATTATAACAAAATTTATGCATTTTTTGCATTTTGTTTTAAAGTTGCTAGTGGCGCCCAATGTGGGGCTCAGATAATTATTTTACCAGTTTATACCACTTCCGAAGGAAACGGCTTTAGATTTTTTATGAGAGCATAATTGGCGCCCGAATTGATAACCCGCCTATTGTCAGACTACTTGAGAACCTTAAAACCAGTGTTTATTTTCGCAAGCTTTAAAATAAAGCTCATTTCTGCCCAGACTGATCCCTCAAAACTGATGTCTCATATAGAATAAATCATGTGTTAAGAATACATATTTCTTACTGGCGCCCAACGAAGGTCATAAAAAGTCATGTGCCTTACTTTTCGGAATCCTTGTAGCAAATTACTTAAACAAAAAATATTTTAAGAAATCAATAATTTTTTCCATGAAATGAAGATCTGATTTTAGGCTATGTATTTACGTCTTTATTTGCGAAGTGCCGATTTTTTAAAATCTTGGTCGAACTTTAATTTCTTCTCAAAATATGTTACCATATTCAACCTCTTCACGACTAAGATTTTCCCTTGGACATTTTCTCAGACTTCTCAACGCATTTCGTATTTATTTAAATATGTTGTACAACAATGCCCTTGGGGATATGTTAAATACATTTCTATTGAGCTGATTTGAGACGAACTGCTTTCTCAACATTTTTATAATGCAATTTAAAACAACAACAACAACCATTACAAATTCCAACGTGTGTCACATCCGACGCTTCATCTTTGTCTTTACTTACTTCGTTTTTGCATATTGGCTAAATAAACTCCAACACAAATTAATAACGTGTGTCTGTGTCCTTTCATCCTGTCTAGCCTGCCATTTGATCCTGTTAAGTTATGGGATCACAGCCATGAATCAAATTATATAACGATTACAAGCAAATGAATGAATGACGAAGTGAATGGGACAAAATGCCAGGCATGTGGCCGGGCCATTACGCCGTCCGCATCCAATAGCAGTTATCTGCAGTTGAAGTTTTCTGTGATTTTTTAAATTTTTTCTGAGTGAGTGTGTGTAGCAGGAAAGCCATTTAGGGCTTATTGTGAACGAGTGGTGTTAAGTGATAGCACAGTGGGTTCCACGGAGAAAACAAATGGATTTCTCAGGAACTCATAGGTGGCAAAAGAACGGCGGATGATAGAAGGTTATTTTAGCTTGTTGTTTTTACAGTGATTCACACAGGTTGTTAGGGTTTTGAATTTTGTAGTATTTTATAGATATTGCTAGTGGCGCCCAACGTGAGACTCATATGTCATTTTTATTTTACATCATCATATAACTCTCCAAAGAAACTACGTTATTTATGCCGTAAGAAAAATTACTTCCCTTGGAGTGTTTGAGTGGCGCCCAACGGGCTCTGAGTACTTCTTTCTCAGTGGCGACCAACGGAGATCTTAACATTTTATGGTTGAATGAAATACATCGGGCATTTTTTGCGTCCATCTTTTTTTCAATGCTAATTTTGTACAGAAAGAATATTTTTTTTAACTTTTGTTTTTTAGTAGTTGCTATTGGCGCCCAATGGGGGACTCTGAGATTTAGGTCCTGTCTTACCAGTATTTATGCAATTATTTGATGAAATGTTCTTCAAGCTTTTTTTTTATAAAATATATGAATTATTTATTTCTTAAGAAAAAGCTAATGGCGCCCAACGTGGAACTCAGATATTTAAGAGATCCCTTGGCACAATAAAAAACAGTGTTATTCCAGCTATTGACAAAATCATTTTCATGTGCTCCAGTTTTAATTACTTATGGGGATATAAATGGCGCCCAACGTAAATAATCAACAGTCAGACTATTTGAATCTTTTAAAACCACTGTTTATTATTCATTTATAATTTCTCGACATTCTTTCACTTCTATTTTAATTAAAAAAACGGACATTAAAAATAAATAAATGGCGCCCAACGTGGGGGAAGTATATATTTTTTATTTTAGATTTTCGAAGGTGTAAACGATTTTTTTCATCCTTTTTTGGTAGTTTTTTCACAATATTATCCTTGGAGCATCTCTGGAAATAAATGGCGCCCAACATTGGAAAAACGAACATTAAAAATTCATGAATGGCGCACAACGTGAGGGACCATATATTTTTTAATTTTAGATTTGTTTCATTCTTTTTTGGTAGTTTTTTTCACTATATTATCTTTGGACCCTTTCTGGAAATAAATGGCGCCCAATGCGGGTCCGTGGTATGTTTTACTTAATATATAATTCAAATAATTTTTCTTCGTGATCCTCTGGGGTTCTGTGGACTCATTTATGTTTATTTTTTATGAGGCTTATGTAATGCTTAGTTTGAATTGGCGCCCAATGTGAGGTCCACAGTTTTTTCTCAGGGCATCAATATTCAAATTATTTTTTATTTCTTTGTATAATTTTGAACTCATATATTTACATTTTTAGTCTTGGAAAAAAGTATCCCAAGATTTCTTTAACATTAATTTTAAAGTGGCGCCCAATATGAGGCCGACATAAATTATAATTTTTCTTTTAAATAATGAAATCCAACGCTGTTAAGACATCCTGAACCTATTACAAAAATTCCCACCATTGTGCCACTACCGCAAGCATTACATCTTGCACCCACAATGACACGTGGCGGGTATGAAACGGACAAATCTTTAACTGCTTTGCAAGTTAACCACTTACTTGCTACAACAACCAGGCGTATAACCGTTCAACTTCATTTGAACAACATTAGGGCAAACAAAAACCACCCAGTTATGCCAGGCGTTTCAGATTAGCTTAAAATAATCGAAGGACATGGCATACACAACAACAACAACGACATGAAAAGTAAATGCTCCAATAAATCGTCAAGGCAAAAAATTGGCTGAGAACGACGCTCGCCGCCCAGAGTTTTTTGAATATTTTTGAATGGTATCGTAGCATAAGCTTGTTAAACAATTAGGAAACAGTTTTCGTTTTTAATATTTTCCCATGAATACTGGAGTGATATGCTAGAGAGTTGTTGCAACAACAACACCAACAAATTTCTATAATTCATTTGATTTTTCATTTCTTCCTTTTTTTCTGATTGTAACTCGTTTCAGGTTCCATAATGGGTTCAGCTAGCGAAGATGAAGACGATGATGATGATCCGCCACATTTACGCGGACCCCCTCTGGGTTTGGGTATGCTGGGACCAAATGGCCCAGACTCAGCAGGTGGACCATTGGGAGCATCAGATATTTCAGTACAAAGCATGAGCACCGACAGCAAAAATACCCATGACGATTCGGATCAGGTAAGTCTACACTAAAAAAATAGGCAAAATGCCGCCAACAACAACAGCAATAAATTTAACTGCAATGAAATACAAAACCTAATGAACCAAAAAAACGGACATCCAATAAAAATCAGAGAACTGCAGAAAACATTGATCATCTTCCAAAACCTTCAAATGATTAATGATGTTTGCCAAACAATTACCAAACAAATTTGATTTTTATTTATCATCACTTTTTGGTGTTGTTATGTGCGGAACACAACACATAAGTGCCAAATGGACACTTGAAGAGAATCTAAAAAGTTTCGATTCTTTATTTCGTTATAGGGTTCCTTAGATGGCGATCCTGATGCGAGAGGTGATTCCCAGGCTGAAAACAAAAGTCCTGACGATGCCAACGGTTCAAAGCGAAGAGGTCCGCGCACAACGATCAAAGCCAAACAATTGGAAGTACTGAAAACTGCATTTAACCAAACACCGAAACCGACACGCCACATCAGAGAACAGCTGGCCAAAGAAACGGGTCTGCCGATGCGAGTGATACAGGTGAGTGTTTGCGATAGCGTTCGTCCACATGTGTGTGTGCGTGTGAACAATTATTGATTAATTGTTAATAAATATGTAATTGACATTTGATAGCAGTAAAAAAACATGAAGGTTAATATTTAGAAAATATTAAGAACATAGAATAACTTTGAGGAAAGGACAATGATAGTTTTTAGAGCCTTGAGAAATATATTTTGATACAATATACGAATTTGAGGTGGTTCAGTCCTTGGTGTTTAGATTCTGTTGAAAAATAAGGTTTAAAGTTATAACATTCCGAACTTTTTATATCCCACACCAAGAGGTACAAGTTCAAAATAACAATATTTGGTCGGGATGTTTCTAATCATCTGAAAAAAACGAAGTACCTAATTAAAGTCACTCAGGTTAACAAATAACCACCAAGATCTTGGAATACCAAATGACACCCAAATTGGTTGCAAACTAGGTTTGGATCGGAACCTCAACATGGAAACGATGTCAAAATATGGATCTATATTGACGAATATGCACTAAGAACCCGAAATGCCAAATAACAGTCACGTCGGTCAGAAATCTATCTAGGGCCCTATAAAATACACAGAACGAAACAGGATCTTTGTATGTGAGCTATACCAAAACGTGGACGTGTATTGAAAATCTTTTGACGAAAAAGTATTTTACCTATGATAAACCCGACTTCGGTCGGAAAATTCGCCTGAGATCATCAAAATACCAATTAAGGAGTCGGAATTTTCATATGGGTAGGGAGATTTCATTTTTGGCAGGAATATTTATCACCCAATTAAAACTCCAATAATGTCAACCTAAATCGACATACAATTTTTTGCACATAAAGAATTTTGTAATGTTACATTCGAAGTTCCACCTTATGGAAGAGGATATAAAAATGGCGCCCAACGTAAGGCACATTTTTGTAAGATCTTCATTTCCGCCATGATTGTTTTAATAACGTCGTATGCTGATCCAGTTTTTTAATTGCTTTTATAAAAATTTTGTAATTTTAATATTCAAAAATGGCGCCCAACGTGGTGCGATACATAATTCTGGGAGACTTTTGAAATTAAATTTACAAATTGAATTTCTATTGGTTCGAATGTTCTCAAATTTTGCGATTTCTATCATGAAATTTCGAGCCACACGGACGGAATGGGAAATTTTTACACCAATAAATTTCCCATTTCCTGATCCAAATATAAATAGCGCTCAGTTTAAGCCAGAAATATTGTTTCGTAAGATTTTATTGCTGCCTAGAAATGAAATGAGACCAACAATAGGTATTTTTTGCTTTGTTATCCATTTCATTACAAAATGGCGCCCAACGTGGCGGAGATTTTGAAAAAAATTACAAATTAAATTTTTATTGGCACGCTTGTTCATTCATTTACTCAAAGATCCCCTACCTCATCCTTACAAAAAAATGTTTAGCTTTGTTATTCACATTATTACAAAATGGCGCCCAACGTGTGGGAGATTTTGAAAAAAAAAACAAATTCAATTTTTATTGGCACGCTTGTTCTATTATCAAAAAATCATTCTTTTACCCAAAGATCCCCTACCTCATTCAAAATTTATCCATTTTTTATCCATTTTATTAAATAAATGGCGCCCAAAGTGGGGGAGATATTGAAAAAAGAGCAAACTCAATTTTTATTTGCACGCTTGTTTTTCTAGTATCCTTACCGAAAAATTACTGGCCGTATGGCAACATTGTTGCGGACTTAGTCCTCCTGACTGTATGCCGCAATAATTGCTACATTTACTAAAATAACATTAAATTGTTGTACACAAAATACAAAAACAACAACAAAAAAACATTTATCTAATTGTCGAAGAAAATTTTTCTACTGAGGACCACGACTTACTTTTTTCCCGGTTGGAAATTAGCCGACTAAAGCTACTACTAAAGATAATATCATGCAACGTTTTGCTGTTGTTGTTATTTTAACTGAAGATCACCTGCCATAAAACATTTTTTATTCCTTCAGTGGTCAGTCACTCAGCCAGCCAGTCAGTCATACCGAAAAGATAATAATTTCAAACTTATATAAATGCGGATTTTAAAGGAAACCATGGAAAATAAAAAACCCGTTTGATGAAGATGATCATCGTCATCATCTGGAACGGCAGTTTACTACTACTGCCACCAAATAACTTGACGACTGATGAAATCTGCAGATATTGATGTAATTTTTTTTTCTTACTTTAAAATGAAAGGAAAGAAAAATAAAACAAAACCAAAATGGCAGGCAGTTAGTCAGTCAATTGGCCATGTTCAATTTTTTTGGAATAAATCTAATAATTTTTGTTGTTTTTCTTTTTCATGAGATCACTGTAATTGGATCATTGGCATCATGTTCTTGATTGTGGCGACGTCGACGTTGTATTGCTTTATATTGCTTCGTTCGGTCATAACAATCTCCTCCATTGTATTTTTTTCTGTTTTGGTTGGATCTTTGTGGTTTATGTTTTCTTTTTTTTTTGCAACAATTTTGTAGCATGTAATTGTGAAGGGGCAAGAGAAGGGCGATTTGGTTAAACACGAATACAACTACTACAATTTCGGTAAACACTTTATAATTTTGCAGACGTACAAGTGAATGTCGGAACGTGACAATGGACCATAAACATGTAAAAACCATGAAATGAAATGTTGTTGTTTTTTTTTTTTTTTGTTATATTTTTGCTGCCGTTGTTGTCTTTGGAGGTTTTGATTCATCGTTGTTCGATTTTGTTGTGGTTTGCTGGCCATAAAATCTTTGTCTTTTTTTCAAACAATAAAATTCAAATTGAATTTTTTCGCGTTGTGGGGAATTGGAAGGTACTGAATGAATTTAAAAAAATCTACTCAACAATGGAAAAAATAAAAAATCGACAGCTTGAATTAATTCACGACTTAGAGTTTCATTAAAAAAATATATATATTTTTTTTTTAATTTAAAATTTCAAAGAAACAAAATTATATAAATTCACGTTTTCTAAATTCCTTTGAATATTGGCGTTGATAACTACATATATGGCGTCCAACACTTGTTTCAGTAAATGGCGGCCAACATTTGTTTCAGTAAATGACGCCAACATTTGTTTCAGTAAATGACGCCCAAATGATTTTTATCAATAAAAATATAAAGGAAAATTAGAATTTTAATTGAAAAACATTTTTTTAAAAAATACAAGCTTAGAATTATCTAAAAATCCAAACCTAAGATTTTTTTGTTTTTAAATCCTTGTCTATAATTTTTATTGGAAATGTATATTTTTTAAAAATTGCATTAACAATATTTTAAAAAATCCAAGCCTAGAATTTTTAATTACATTTTTTTTCATTTTGGTGCAACATTTTTATCAAAATCTGAACCGATTTTTAGGTTCATCATCATTCTAGACTTAATTTAGTACGTCATGCCAAATTTCCTGAAAATCGAAAGATATGTAGGGGGTATGGTATACCATTTACATTAAATCGGACGAAAATATATATGGGAGCTATATCTAAATCTGACCCGATTTTCTCGAAACTTAATACACATCATTCTAGGCTTGATTCAATACGACGTGCCAAAATATATATAGGGATTTAGTGCAGCATTTACATAAAATCGGACGAAAATATATATGGGAGCTATATCTATATCTGAACCGATTTTTACGAAACTCAGCACACATCATTCTGGACCTAATTCAGTACCCTATGCAAAATTTCGTACAAATCAAAGGATATATAGGGGCTTTGGTGCATCATTTACATAAAATCAGACAAAAAGGGAGCTATATCGATATCTGAACCTATTTCCACGAAATTTGGCACACATCATTCTGGACCTAATTCAGTACGCTCTGCCAAATTTCGTGCAAATCGAAATATATATATAGGGATTTTGGTGCCTATATCGGACGAAAATATATATGGGAGCTATATCTAAATCTGAAGCGATTTTCACCAATTTCGATAGGATTCGTCCTTAGGCCAAATAAGTGACTTGTGCCAAATTTCATCCAAATCGGATCATAAATGCGGCCTGTATTTGTTTACAATTTAACATCTACAAACGGACGGACGGACGGACATGCATAAATCGACTCAGAAAGTGATTCTATGCATACTCTCAAAAGGAACCATGTGTCTATCTTGATTCCTTTTGCCTGTTACAAACATAAGCACAAAGACATAATACCCTGTGCCACAGTGTACAGGCAAGCATTAAATTTTCCATTAAACAAATTATTTTTAAAAATCTACGAATAAATTGTTTCCTCCCTTTTAGGAATAAATTATTTTAAATGATTCTCCATATTTTTATTTTTAAATAAATTCCTTCAGTCTTTAACTTGAAGCTTGCTCACACGCATAAATAGCCTAACAGACTGACAATAATCAAATTTTATTGACGTCCACACGCTTACAATGGGAAACTACAAAACGCTGACACCTTCAATAAAGCGTGACAGATTCGCGAGCGAACATGTGTGTTGTTGTGTGTTTGCGAGGCCCTAAAGAGATTTTGCAACAGTGGCTGAATGACTGGAAAGACAAATAAAAGCCTTTGGCAAATTTTGACACCCATACAATGAATGGATGGTTACACAACAACAACAATAATAATGATTGCCTAGGAAGTATGTACATATATATTTATGTACATGTCTATATATAATCTGTGTGTTCTTTAAATGCCTGCAATTTATGTACTGCAATAATGAGCTGAAATTATTCTGAGAAAATGAAAATATTTAAAAATTACTCCTCAATTTAATGAAAAGAAGAACAAAAGGTTGTAAATGGCCTATATATAGCCATGATGTGCAGATGATTGATAATAAAAAAATTAAGTTTAAGATCAGTAGTTTAAAAATAAAGTCTCATAAAATGTTCGTTAAAACTTCTGGAGACAATAACATTGACTGTGACCCCACATTTTTCTTAATTAAGAAAATTGACAAAGCAACATCCTCAGGTGGGCGTTTCCGCAAGTTATAAGATTTTGTTTTCTTCTCTAAAC